AATTAAAAGAGTAGAAGAAGTAAATGTGGAACCTAAGGGATTGCAAGGTATGTGTTTTGATCGGGATCAACTCAAAACTCCTTTTAGCATTCATTGTGGCTAGGTTTGACTAACTTTGCTTTTCTCATTGTTATTTCACGTCTTTTGATGGAATTTCCTCTACTGTTCTCCTGGGTAGCTTCTGCACGCTGGAAGGTAGCGATATTGCTTTTGATCAGACATTGTTTTGTGCATCTATAAACCAAAATCCGCTTGAATTACCGGAGGCGGGCGCGCTCGCAAAATCCCGCCGGTCCCACGCGGCCAAAAAAGCCAAAACGCGCGTTGTCGTCAACGTGTTAACATTTGAGTGGAACCACCCCATCAAATTATTCCTGATTCTTGCCTTTCAAAGGCACAATTAGGAACACTGGGAAAAAGCAAAAAACACCATAGAAATCACTAAAATTCCCTTTGTGGGGCCGGCCGTGCTATGGCGGAGGCGAGCGCGCGCCGTGAAAGCTGCCAATCGTTCAACTGCCTTCGGAACTCGGTATTTTTAAGTTTTATCCTTAAGACACAAATGCAAAACATATGTTAACGACCGAATACATGCAAAGTACTCACCAGGGAAGGCATTCAACTTCCCATGGAACTTTGAATTGAGACCCAGATATATCGATAGAGCTTCAAACGCTGATTACAAATATGGAAACTAAAACTGCAAAATGAACCTGCCAAGGAAGTTGTGAGCAGTCAAAGTTGGCTAAAGTAAAGCGTTGCATATGAACCGAACTAACTCGCCATGGAGTAGAGGTAGTACCCCCGCTCTTTAAAGGACGAATTCACGATCAGAGGGAAAATCGAATTAGGAAGAATTCACCTGGTTGAGGGACCCGCGGACCTCCTAAGGGTGCGAACTGAAGCGCAATTTGCACGAAGGAGTTGACCTCGGCGACCTATTAAGGCTCAATCTTGGCGCGGCTGGCCAGTGCACGCCCACCGATCATCTGATCACTCGCCGCAGGTCTATACGTGGCGAGTGATTAGATAGGTGAGAGAGCGTAGTGTTGAAGAGGGCACAGCGATGAGAGTCGCATCAATGCTCAAATCAACGGGCAAGGAAGGGGTCCCATTTCTCGGGTTCTGGGCCGTTTCTCATGGTTTTTCCTTCTTTCGTGTACCACTCACCATCCCTAGGTTAATTTGAAATGGGTTGCTTTTTCATCGTGAATTCGTCCTTTAAGTCATAAGTTCTCCTCCTGTTTCAGTGCAAATTTCGAGAGCACTACCACTACTCCACGGATGGATTGGGAGCCCGTAGCTTAGCGCGATTCATAAGCAACGCTTTACTTCCAGCCAACTTTGACTACTCACAACTTCCTTGGCAGGTTCACTTTGCAGTTTTAGTGCAGGATCAACATCGAAGAGAAAACTTCTTTCAATCAACTTCAACCCAAATGTGTACTCCTAAGGGTTGACATAGGAAAAGCTAGAGTTCCTCTACATTTCAAAAAATTCCTATTCCCAAGTGCGAGAACTTTATCTATAGATGACACATTTTCACTATTTTCTTACTGACTGGCGCTTTAGTGCAGAAGCGGGATTCCCGCACGAACGGTGGAACCCTGGGCCTCAGAAGACGACGATTTTGTCGAAACGTTAGGCCGATTGAATAAATGTTCCACCTATCAACCTCGAACGGCAGAAGAAACAAACACAAATAAAGATTACACAATTATTTCGCTCACTATACTCAATGAACAAGTTG